AGCTGGTACCCCACTTGCCCCCCCCCCAGATACACTATTGGGTTCAGATAACATTTTCTTCTCCTTCATCATGTAGTAGGTTTTACCACAAAAGAGTTTATCAAGCCAAGAGATGAATGAGATTGCCGAGAAAGAAGAAGCATCTTTTACAGCAGAATCCAAACTCTACAGGTGAATAAGCATCTGCTCAGCAAACCTGTTTCATAGATTAGGAATGACAATTTACCATAAAATTGGATGGAAAAAATAAGAAACCATCCACTTGGGGCAGTGTTCTTAGGCATATAAATCTCTAATTGTTGTGTGGTTGTATGCCTTCCCTTTTGAAGGTAACATTCATATTACATCATTTTATTTCCAATTGGGAGCATTTTTAGTTGTTTTCAAGACTATGGTCCTTTTTAATTTTATTGTAACCCTTGTCCTTTGGGTCCTGTCACTATGACATTAGTAACAGGACACATCTACACATGAAATTAATGTAATGCAATAAAATTTGGCATAGTTCGTTTCAGCGTTTATTGCTCCTGAGTGAAGCATATGCACCCAGGACTGCAGCACACTGAGCCAGCCCAGAGTTGTTCCATCCTGGTTCAACATGCTGCAGAGGGGCTGGCTGGGACACGACAGTGTTACAGTGCAGGGCTAGCTGGAAGGCAGCCCCCTGCACTGTAGCACCCTAGTGCCCCAGCCAGCCCCATCAGCATCTACACGTGTGTTGCAGTAGAGTAAGTAACTCCACCATAGGATAGTACTTGTGTCATGCAGTACTATCCTACAATAGAGTTAGTTTCCTGCAGCCTAATAGCACTGCATGAATAGACTGTGCCGCCTTACTGCTGAGCTAATTAGTCAGCTCCGCAGTAAAGCATCTGTTGTAGATGTAGTCTTGTAGATGGTATAAACAATTTAGAATTGTGTGATAAAAAAGACAGCCATATTAATGAACCAGGCTGAATTCTAAGGTGACAGTATAACCTCAGTCTTGGTTCTCATTCTGGGTTTGATATTATTTGCTGTATGAGACTGAACAACCATTTATATTTCTGAGTCTTGATTTCACTCTGTAAGGTGAGAACAGTAGCTGCTGACAAAGTGGATTTCACACAGTGGATATTACAAAACATAAATAGTTAAGGTTTTAGAAAGTGTTTTTAAATTCTCAAATGGAAGCTGTGATATAAATGAAAATGTCATTGTCCTTCTGATATCTGTAAGCACAAGCATCCATTTTCACAAGAATGTGAGTTTGGCACATTATATTCTGATGTCATGAGCTGATACTTCAGAGTGATTGAAAGTTATTTCAAGGCTCTATAATTTTGATAAAGGCTATGGGCAGACTGTACTGCTTCCTCCTGCCCTTTTAAATACCAGACCTTCAAGAAGTGTTATTTGTGGAGGGTGTTCACCCACCCTCCTAAAGACATCTTGAGCTGTACATAAGCTGAATGATGGGACATTAAATCCTGCGTCAATGTTGAACTCATGATATTAGGTGGCATTTGAATGCTGGATGTTATCACCGTCTGAAAGTGATGAAAAGCAAAAGTTTGACAGATTTAATTATTAGAGATGGGCCCTCATCTGAATTTCTTGACTTAATTTCAATTCACGTAGTTGTATTCTTCCTGCCTACATTAGTTGCATCCTCCCTAGGTTTGAGGTGGCTGCATAATTGTACTTCGTATGATTTATGAAAAGCATTGTAATAAGGTACATTATACAATAATTACCATGGTCTGCCACTGGGACTGATCACATATCAGATCAGTGTTAAAAAATCAGATTTTGAAATAATCATTTCATAATCATTCTTTACTTTATAGGGCCAATCCTCCTTCACACTATTGTTTGTGAGTGTGTAAGCTCTAGCCAATAGCTACACTCAAACGGATTTTAAAATGATCATGGTATAAAAACTGAATAGAATGAGAGAGGAAAAATGAAAAGAAAGGAGGAAATTTAGGTAAAGTGAGAGTGAGGACTGGAAATGTGGAGAAAGGAAGGAGAACACATGATGCACTTGGGAGTTTGCAGTGAGGGAGGACAGAATTTGGGATAGTGAAACGGTAAGAAATGAATGAGAGGGAGGTAGAAAGGACTGAGACAGAGAATTTAGAGGAGACTGGAATTTAGAAAGAGGCCAGTCTTTAGAAAGGAGGAGAAATTGGAGGTGTTTGAGGGAAGTGGGGGGAAGTGGTGAGATTTCACAGGGGAAAAAGTCTGTATGGGGAATAAGAGACACTGGAACATTTAGGCCAGGAGTGCAATTCAGCATGGTGCCTGAAGACTGCTGCCGCACAGGAATGGGATGCAACACAGTAACAGAAGAGAGATGGGAGGAGCCCAAAATACTAACTGAAGTTCTTGGGTTTCCTTGAAGACAGGTGGGAAAGTAGCTTGCATGAAGACATTTATTGGTGTCAGAGAAGGGCAGTTGTTTTGCAGTGTTGCAAAAAAAAATGTACCTGCCTTCTGGGGTAAAATTGCTCCAATGACTAAGAGCTATGGGAAGGTTGGAAGTTTTTGAGGAAGACTGGAAGCTAGTAGTGGTAGTTTATTACTGCTGTTATTATTTGTCTCTTATTTGTGTTAGAGGCTCCTGTTTTACTTCTGAGACACCTACATGGCACTGAGGTGGCTTTGAGGCATTTAGGTTAAGAGCAATATCCATGTCACTGGGCTTAAGTCCCACTCCCTTTTGCTTGGTTTACTTCTGGCCCCAGGACTCTTCCCTTTCTTTCCATCTAGTGGCCCAGGTTCAACAGAATGATGTTCGTAGCCATATTGGCTGCATCCACACGAGCATGCACACACATTTTGTGGTGCCTCAGAGACCTTTGAAGCATTGCAAAGTGTACCCCATGCACATGATTTGGTTCTCCTCACTGCATATTTGTAGTCTCTGCCACTTTGGTATATTGGTAGATGCCTCTTCTGAGTGAATGCCTCCCCTCTTAATCAGATGAAGGTAGATCCTAACATGCCCACAGTGCATTAACTGTCCATAAGCCTACACACTGAGAGCAAGTGGGAGAGGTATGTATTAGGGATGTGTGAAGCAGGCCCTATTCAATTTGAATTTGGCCCAAATCAGGGACAGTGATTCAATTAGTTGATTTGGATCACTGTCCCCGATTCAATTCGGCTGAATCCAAATCTGAAGATTCGATGCTGATTTGGAGAATCAGCGATTTGGACATAGACATAGCTTTAAAAGTTTTTTCTACATACCCCAAGGTGCCAGGTATGGCTCGTGAATGCTGCGATGCTGGGGCGCATGGAGCGTCCCAGAGAAGTGTGAGGGGGCCCTCCATGTGCTTGGGGGTGAACCTGGAAGTAGACTGGAAGTACTTCCAGTTCACTTTTGGGTCTGCTGGGGAGCAGGTGCGGGGGGGAATGTGGCCCCCCAGTTTGGCGACCAGCTGTGGGGGGACCCTGGGTGCCCCCCCGGACCCAGGAGGCACTAGTCATTGAGCTGGGGGGCACAGGGCCTCCCCCCAGTCCAAACCTGGAAGTGGACCAGAAGTGCTTCTGGTCCGCTTCCAGGTCTGCTGCCAAGCATGTTGGACTTGCACTCCTATGGGATACTCCATGCACCCCAGCATTACAGCATTCGCAAGCCCCTGCTACCTAGAGGTATGTAGAAAAAAACATTTAAAGCTGTGTCTATATCCAAATCCCTCCAAATCAATTCAGAGGGTTCTGATTCGATTCAGAGAGATTAAAGGGTCCTCTGATTTGATTCAGATTCAGAGATTCTGCCACTGAATTGGGCTGAATCTCCACCAAATTGAATCAGGGACCGAAGCTTTGCACAGCCCTAGTATGTATGTTTCCTTAAGATGAAATAGGATTGGCTACTGAAACATCCTATTACACTCTGAAGGCACAAAGGCTACCTGCTAACCATTAACAGGGAGAGCTATGCAGCTCTGAAAGGTAGAATAGGTTTGGTGTTTTGGGGTGCGTTAGTCTATCCATTGAGAGGATGAGAGAGACCTTGGGGTCTTAGGGGAGGAATACAATCAGTATCTTGAAAAAGATGCCTAAGTTTGAGTCAGGCAGCAGACTTAAATGCAAAATGGGATTTGGGTCTTGGACTACAAAGTCAGACACACTTTTTGAGGTATTTTTATTCATTGAAATAATAAACACATGCAAAGTATTAAGGAATAATAATGCAGAAAATCTATTCTAAAATAATATTCTTGATGTTTCAAAGTAGAGTTTGAAAAGATCTCAAGAAAAAGTTGTCTTGGTAGGTTCCTTCAGTTTATAGCTTCTGGTCTGCCTAGGTGGAGTATAGCTAAAATCAGTGACATAGATATCTGGAGACAACAATGAAGACTCAGTCCTACATGCATCCTTTATCCAAAATACCCACTGTAGCCATGAGTAACTTTTGGTGAGTACAGGTTACAAAATTGATCCTTCTGGTAGAAAGTGAGTGATACATAATTACTATTGCATAATATAGATGCCATTTAAACTAACTGCAAAATACTGTGAATATTTTCAAGTAAATGAGAAACTAACTTAAATCACTTTGCAGAAAACTTTTATAGTGTGAGATATAATGTTTCATTAATAAATGATGTAAAACAAATTTTTGATGAAAAAATAAGTAATGGCAGCAAACAAACAAATCAATACATAAGGACAGATACTGTTACAAGTCCTCTAAAGTGATCCACTCAACACTTTGCAATGTTGAAAGACAAGAAGTATCAAGGGATAAAAATTACTCTGAACTTCTTTTTAGATGGCATGTAGTAGGGCACTAAGTGCCTGCTACTTGGAAAGCAGAGATAAGAACCCAGGTGCAGGTTGCCGAGACAACTGGTTAAGGAGGGAAGTGGCTGCACCTGCACCTGGTCAGCTGACTGGAAGGGGCAGGGTCTGGCTCCCATATAAATCCCAGGCCTGAGGTCAGGAGGGCAGTTATCTGCCAGCAGCCAAGGGGGAAGGAGCTCTCCTAGAGCAAGCAGGGGGGAGAGGCCTGACTGCAGGTACAGCACCAAGACTGATAAAGGATGGAGCACCCCTGGGGTGGCTAGAATAATGTTATAGCTGGGCGGCTAGAATTTGTTATAGCCCAGGGGCTTGTGTTTTTGTTTGCTGTTTGACACCGGTGCCTTGGGTGAGGCTATTAGGGGATGGAGGAGGCCTTATAGGGGATCCATGGTAGCGTGGGGACACTGGCGCCACAGAGGGTACAGCATTTGGGGGGGCACCGACCCCGAGCGCCAGGGAGGGTGCAGAGTGGGACAGGGCTGCGGAGAGCCCAGGCACCAGTGAGGTGCAGGGCGGGACTGAAGAACATCTATTCCATCTGTGAGGCTTGGGGCTTAGTAAAGGGGTGGTTGGAGCCATGCATAGCCCATAAAGCTAGAGTGCCCCGAAACACCCATTACAGAATGGGGCCAGCGTACAGCAAGAAACCGTGTCTAAGCAAGTGTATAGCAAGAAACCGTGACAGAAAGGCAGCCTCCCTATTATACATTTTCCCTCAAAGATGTGGCGGGCGAGAACTGAGGGTGCCCCCTAGGCCAGTTTAGCATGGAAAAGGGGCTTTAGGGGAGATCACAACGACCCTAAGGACACCACTCTGCTACATGGCAAATAAAATATTACTTAGTTGCATGAGGTCTTCATGAAATGCTTGTCCTTCGGTTTCTAAATGTTCTTGTTTGTTCCTAAATTAAAAACTAGGTTATTTCCATGTGGATTATCTCACAGGCAGACTGATTATGAAGTTTGTCATTTAGGAAATATTTAATTATTTGGAGGTGTCACTTCTGTTTTAGCTAATAAAGTTGCTGATTTTTTTTTTTTCCTTCCTGGAAGGAATATTTTGTTCTTTGTAATCAACCGGGCCTCAGGTGTTTGAGAGATTCTAATGTGCATTTATTTTGAAAATCAATCTGTCTCAGCCAATTTATGAGACTCTTTTGGCAACACCTTCATTGGAATATCATTTAGATTCCCACCTTGATGTATATATTCTTTAGGTGTTTTGGGGCTTCAGAACCTGGAGAGCTGCGGTGCCTGAACGTGGTATTTTTATCACATCACACTCCTTTTTACAAATTCCTGGTTCTGCTGCAATTGTAAGAGCTTTCAGAATGGCTTCAACTGAATTAAGATTTTACCCTGTGTCTTTGGAAGCTGTGTTGGTCCCTTTTTGTATAATCTTTAATAACTGGCATGTTAAATCTTTTGAAGACTCCATTTAATTTTTTTTCAACACCTCTGAATTGGTTCACATATCTGTCCCTTTCTGTTCAATTACATCATTTCTTTCTAGTATTGTTCACCAGCTTTCTTTTTTTCTATGTCATACCGTATAACATACAACATGTGAAGATTAAGTTATAAAGCAAGGTGAGATTCTTGTTAATTCAAAGTATAGACTTGGTTAACTTGCAAGTAACTGACAGAAGAAACAACTCAGAAGGGAAGGTGTTGCAGGGGGGAGTGGGGAGGAGTGACAGAAATGATGCCACTTCCCAATGCAGTTTCATTCCACCGTTATCATAGTATCAGTAGTTGAAGCCCTAGGCAACACCAAATGGAATTAATAAGAGGGCCAATAATTCAGGAAATAGATTGACAGTTTCTAAACAGTTTTCTATTAGGTCAGGTGCATTGAAGAAAAAAAAAAGGGCCGAGTCTTCTTTTATTCAACTCAGTAACGGTACACATAGATGAGCATGTGTCCATTTTATGGGTAACAATGCCATGCCTATTTTATGGTTATAGATACTTGAGCAAAGAGACTTGAGTAATAAGGAGAACTAATAAAACAGGGAGCAGCCTTCCAGCACAACTGCAGATTTTGGCATGATACAAGCCTAGGATAAAAAGGATGGAATATTCTCCCTTTTTTGATATACTGATAGGAATGTGATCCTGAGCACAAACTTACAGTAGGGGGTCACTGTTCATGTTCTCCCTACGTTCTTTCTGACTGTGGAACAAATTTGTATCCTTGCAGACATTTCATAGTCATATTATTACACATACTCAATATAAATAAAATGTGTTAAATCATTTATTATTATTTAGGGGTAGCAAGCTGTGAAGAAATGGACAGAGATAAGAAAAAGTATTACCTATAAGACTTCTAACACCTACATTAAAGTACAATTTTTATATAAAATACCACATTCCTAAATCTCCCTTTCCTGGAAGGAAGTTTGTATTTCTATCTCTGATGGGTGGAGAAAAATCTTGTTCATATTGACCTTCAGGCCAACAGATGGTTGGGGAGTTTTATTTATTTTTAAAAAATTAAAATCTTTTTACAGTATGTAGCAGCCTTTAAAAAATGGACCCACCTGAACGGAATGGGAAGGGCTCCCTGGCAGAGAGAGACAGAGTTTGTCCCCGAGGGGACACTGTAGGCTCTGAGGGCAAGTGAAGCTGTTTTGGAAGCAGCCCTGTTGGAAGTGGGAGGGGTGATGTAACCCCAGCAAAGTTTTGAAAGAGAGCCCTTAGCAAAAGCTGGGGAAGGGCCCTGAGCTGGGATTGACTGAGAGGCTTGGATAAAAAGGGGAGCAGTTTTTCCTGCGGGGGGGACGAGAGAGAGAGGGGGCTGAGGGACAGGCTGGAGACCGGATTCAGAGTCTCAGCACAGTGGTCCCTCGGAGAGCCCCTGAGAGAGGCCTGCAGGAGCAGAGTGGAGAAGCTGCGGCGGCAGGATCAGGCAGGGACTGCTGGTGTGGAGAATCCAAGCCTGGAGAGACCTGACTGCAGCCGGTGTGGCTGGGTGAGCACAGCAGAGCTGGGGTGGGGACTGCCGGAGTCTGCCCTAGTTTCCCTGAGGGGTGAGGGGCCCGAGGGGCAGGCAGAGCCCAGGGAGGGGCTGCGTTTGCCGGGGCTGTGGGGCTGTGTGGGGCAGGAGGGTTGCTACAGCCTGCAGCCCAGACACTGCTCACAGCAGAACCAGGGAAGAGGGGCAAAGGCAGGGGAAGGCTGTCTTGCAGGAACTGCAGAGGAGCTGCTGCTTGCTGCCCAGAGACCCCAGGAGCACGGAGACGGACACCAGTGCCAGGGAGCATCCACAGACCATGTGCAGGGACACAGATAGTCCCGCTCTGTGAGAGACCCCACCAGGGACGGTGCACATGGGATCCCCAGTACACCGTGTGCAAGTGAGAGACTGTGTAAATAAGTTCTTGAGGGTTTATTAGTCAGTATATCCATGTGCTTATTTAATGATTATTTGTTATGTTGTAAATAATTAAATCTTGTAAATAGTTTGAGAATTGTCTGCGAGGGTACTTGATTGTAAGGGGAGGCTCTCCGCTCGGGGGACTGCAGCAGCTTCCCAGGGGGGCTAGGCAGGGCTACTGGCTACCGGGTACCCCAGGATCCCATTATTCAGGCGAGGGCGCATGTAGCGTCACGCCCAGGGTTACAAGTATATGAAAGAGTTCAGGGTTTGTGGATATACAAAATACTTGTGAATACAGATTAATTTATAATAGTTATTAACAATTGAGAAATGTAATTTTATAACAACAAATCCAAAGATATTGACTCATACCAGTTCCATAGTGTAAAGAGCCCGGTTTTGTTGTTATGGAAGGTATCTGGAGTTTGGCCAACTATCTACAAGGGGCACCAGCCCCTACATTATTTTTATAGATAATATTTTCTCCACTATACAACTTAAACTGAGTTGCACAATACTTTTTCTTGGCGTATTACCTTAGTTTTTAAGACTTTTTGTGAGTTGGTCAACAAACAGAAAACAATTGGGCATTTCTATACGGATGATCTCCTAGGCACGGAGATTATAGTGCTTCTCTTCCAAGAAATTGTGTATTCTCTGGAAATATCTATTGAGTTTCAGTCTGGTGTGCAGTTGGTCCTCACTTCTAGGAGTAGTCCCATCATCTTTCATTTGTGCAACCAAACAGGCCTCCAACAGCTGAATTTGCTGGTGAAGTCCATTTTGGAAAGTGACAATGGAACTCCAGTCCCAGGTAGTTTGTGTAAGGTTTTTACTGAAGATGGTAAAGATTTCTTGAAGGATCACTTGAATTGTTGTTTTAGCATCCTCTTTCTGTGACGGTCAGAGCTGGAAAATACCCTGGATAGTCTTGAATTTGGTTTTCATTGGAGCGCTGAGAAAGGAAGGGGAAACTTCCCCCCATTTTCTCCAGTAACTCCAGGCTGTCCTTGTTGAGTCTTTTCTGTTGGAAATGAATCATGTCACACTGCACTGATGTGATTTCAGTGGAGAAGAGCAGCACAAGGCAAATGTGTAGTAAGTGCCTGGTAGACAGGTGATATTCATGTTGTCTTCTCTTTCTATGTGCGTGTATGGAACTTATGAGACTGGAACTTGTTTCAGGGCTTTCATGGGCAGCTGCGTCTTTCATCCATGCCTCTAAATTTAAATATTGATCAAGAGAATATTTGTTTTTCATCATCTTATATAGAAGATTTTCCTTCCTTTCACTTTCTGTTATATTCAGTATGTTCTAGCTCTGTTATAGAGCTATTAGCACTTTTCTCTTTGTTTTATTTTTTGTTTTTAAGTGAAAATGACCAAATAATTAGAAGAATATTCTGTAGGATATAAAAAGTAATCTCTATTTTTAAATTTATACTAAAAAAAAAAAAATCTATTAAAAGGACTGTGGGAAAACGATATCATGCAGTCATTACAGACCGTCAGAAGGTATACTGTTGATGTTATTTTTTTAATAAGTTGCTGTAAGATCTGTGTAGTTAGGATAGGACTTAGACAAGTTTTCAAATACACGATGCTGACAAAGAAGAATGTCTTGTATTTGAAAGCGTGTTTAACTCCTATCCCATCTAAACATTTGGTCCAATAAAAGATATCATCCTAAGAAATCCTTGCCCCTCTCATTCTTCCTCAGGAGGCTCTCTAAATGGAACTGTTACTAATTCCTTATTAAGGTGTCTGAAAGTAGCAAACTGGACTTGGGATAAGGATTCACTTAAATGGTTTGAACAGCTTGTTCTCTTG